TGGGTTGTTTTGGTTTACGTTAGTGGGCTGAATGTAGCAAGTTTAGAGGGGTTTCTATATGTAAGCTTTGGAATGGTGTATGTGTTAACCACATAAAGCAATGAGTACGCTGCAACCACTTGAACCAATGAGTGTCCTCTCTGCTCACTGCCAGAGAATTTGTTTTCCACTACTAGTGGCAGAGCCACTTACCAACGGCTGCCAACTCAGCCTTCTTCTTTATATACATCTTTACTGTACATGGGACAAATGCTATGAAATGAATTTTACAGAATACTCTCTTAGTCTCCTTCTCCGCCTTTCTCTTCTTCCTTGCTGTGTTCATTGTTTTGCAGGTATCTGAGGACACCGAAGCTTCTCATGGTATCAGAGCCAAAGCTCTACAGCTAGTACCATTCTGCAATGTCTGAAAATCAAAGTTCAACCGCTCAGACGGCAACCTCCTCCCTGTTGGCGTCCATGGCCGAATTCACAGTACTGTCTCCTCTCAAGTTCCTGGTCTCCAACATCAAGCAAATAGTTACTATCCATCTAAACAGCGAGAACTATGCCATTTGGAGGTTACAGACTCTAAAACTTTTCTTCGCAAACGGCTTCAAGGGCTACCTCACGGGCTCACAAGCTGCTCCCGCCGATGAGGCATCCACTGACTTCAAGCTGTGGAAACTAGTGGACCAGAACCTGGTTTTAGCACTATACTCCACGATCTCTCTGGCTATACTGCCCTACATATTGAATCTGGCCACGGCCAATGAAATCTGGAAGACATTGGAAGGTCGTCTTCAACCCACAAATCGCTCAAGAGTGATACAACTCAAGAATGAGCTACATAATGTGGCCATGGGTGATAGTTCAATGCAGCAGTATTTAGCTCAGGTAAAGGGAATCGTGGATAACATAGCCGCAGCAGGATCCAATGTCGAGACCGAAGACATCCTGCACTATATCTTGAATGGCCTCCCGGCTGCATACAACTCATTCAAGACATCGATTCGCACTTGCCTGAATCCTATCAGTTTGGAAGTCCCATGTACTCATTACTGGCTCGTGAAGAAATCAATATTCAAACTCAGATCCTACGGGATACCGCTATCTCCAAGGATAACACCGCGTTCTTCACCAACTATCGCTCAAACAGGGGAAGAGGGAGGTCATCCCAATCTTCCAGATCTAACAGAGGATGCGGATACAGCCGGAACACCACCTCCGTTACTCCCACAAATCAAACCTTCACCCAATCTGCTACCGGATGACCCATTTTCCAGATCTGTAATAAACCAGGCCACATCGAAACAGCTTGTTGGCACAGATGTAATCTTAATTACACAACCCAGCCTCCGTGTGCTATGCTCAGCCAACCCGTCTCCAATATAACCACTGAATAGATGCTGGATTCAGGTGCTTCCTCACACCTCACATCCGATCCAAGTCATCTTAAGCAATGCCTCCCTTACCAAGGCACAAATTCCATCTCCATCGCCAATGTCAGCACTCTACCAATCCAAAACTCCGGCGACGGCATCCTCCCACTTCCCCCTTCCAACCGTAAGTTACTTCTTCGCAATCTTCTCCACATTCCTTCCATTTCTCACAATTTACTCTCCATTCAACGACTAACCACCCACAATCACTACTCTATTTCGTTTGATTCCTCTGGCTTCCAAATCAAGGACCTGCAGGACAATCAAATCCTCCTCCATGGTAGAAGTTGCAACGGTCTCTACCCTATCGCCGCCACTCCCTCCCCTTCACATCATGCTCTTCGGTCTGCCTCTACATCAGCTCCTTTATGGCATGCTCGGCTTGGTCATCCTCATCACTTAATACAACAAACCTTAGCTTCTTTAGATACTGGCATATGTAATCCTTCTAATTCAGTTTTTTGCAAATTTTGTAACATGGCCAAGAGCCATAGATTACCCTTTACTGCTTCTACTCATGTAACCGCCCCCTTCCAAATCATCCATACCGATGTATGGGGGCCAGCTCCCATCTCCACTCGTGATGGATATAAATATTATCTTGTTTTTATTGACGATCACACTCGTTTTTGTTGGCTGTACTTATTACAAACTAAAGATGAAGTTCTCTCTAAACTTCAACAATTCACTAAAATGATTCAAACTCAATTTTCTACAATCTTTAAAATTTTTCGTTCCGATGGCGGGGGCGAATACAGCAGTCACAAGTTCAAATCCTTTCTCACCCAACAAGGTATCTTGCATCAAGTAAGCTGTCCATACACGCCCCAACAGAACGGGTTAGCGGAGCGCAAATACCGGCATCTGCTCGACATAACTCGCACGCTTCTCCTTGCCGCCAATCTTCCCCACCAACTCTGGGCAGATGCTCTACTTACCGCCAATTATCTAATAAACCGATTGCCATCCAAAGACATCAACTTACAAATACCATTTCACCTGCTATACCACACCAAACTAGTGTATACTCACTTACGGAGCTTCGGATGTTTATGTTTTCCTTGGCTACGACATCAAGCTCCCAACAAACAAGCTCCGCGATCTCGCGAATGTATCTTCCTAGGCTACTCACCCATCTCCAAAGGCTATCGCTGCTTTGATCTTTCAACCAAACAAGTTCATCTCTCTCGCCACGTCGTATTTCATGAAACTCATTTCCCATACCACGATCACTCATCCTTGGGACAAGTCTCTTCCCCCTCACCTCTTACCTCTCCCCTAACCTTAATTCCTATCTCCACATTACCCACCAGCACACCATCATCTTCCCCACCTCCCTCCATTCCCGCTCCACATATAACCCCCAATACGGCAGCTCCGCCAACTACACTACTCACCTTCCCCACACAGTCCACCTTCACACCACCAGCCGAACACCCTCCACCTTCACCAATTCCGACACATCCAATGCAAACTCGCTCCAAATCCGGCATCACAAAGCCCAAACACCATTTCAATCGCCTAGCTTCCACTACCTCCAATAATACCCCTCTGTCTTTCACCGAAGCCAACGCTCACCCTTCCTGGCGTGCTGCCATGCTTGAGGCGAGATCAGTGCTCTTCACTGAAACCATACTTGGACTCTAGTTGCTCCCCCTCCCAATCATCCAGTGCTTGGCTGCCGCTGGACGTACAAACTCAAGCTGGCTGCCAATGGTCAAATTGAGCGATACAAAGCCCGCTTGGTAGAAAAGGGCTTCAATCAACAATACGGTGTTGATTACAAGGAGACCTTCAGTCCAGTGGTTAAGTTGCCCACCATCCGAATTCTCCTATCCATCGCGCTTCAGCGCAACTGGCCGGTCACACAATTGGACGTGTCCAATGCCTTCCTTCACGGCGACCTCGACGAGGCCGTTTACATAAAGCAACCCACTAGGTTTGTCAGTAAACAATTTCCAACTCACGTTTGTCGCCTACATAAAGCTATTTACGGATTGAAATTGTCTCCACGTCAGTGGTACACCAAATTAACGACTCATCTGCAGGCAGCTGGTTTTCAGTTTAGTAAATCTGATCCAGCTCTTTTAGTATACCACAATGGTGAAGACCACATGTACATTCTCATCTACGTGGATGATATGCTCATTACCGGCACGAACTCCTCGTCTATACAAACTCTCATACACAAGCTACGAACATCCTTCTCCATTAAAGAGCTAGGTCCGATAGCTCTCTTCCTCGGCGTTCGAATTACCAGAACATCCCGCGGTTATTTTCTGGATCAATCTCATTATGCCATGGACATCCTACGGGCAAGCGGTTTCAGCAATTGCAAACCGTCTCCAACTCCGCTCACCTTCAAATCTTCCCGCCTCCAGTCGGTAGACTCCCCTGCACCAGATCCTACTCTGTACAGGCAATTAGTTGGCTCTCTACAATACCTCACCATCACTCGCCCCGATCTTGCCTTCGCAACGAACCAACTATGTCAACATATGCATGATCGCTCCGTCGCGCATCTGCATGCCCTGAAAAGACTTCTCCGCTACGTGCAGGGCACTCTCCACTACGGGCTCCCGATTGTCGCAGCTCAACCAGTATTAAATACCTACGTCGACGCTGACTGGGCCTCCGATCACTCCGATCGGAAATCCATTACAGGTTTCTACTCATTCCTCGGTGCTACTCTAGTCTCTTGGTGCGTTAAGAAGCAAGTCACAGTCGCGAAATCGTCCACATAAGCTGAGTACAGGGCCCTCGCATCCGCCACCTCCGACACCATCTGGCTTAGGCGACTGCTTGCTGATTTCCAAGTTCCACAAACCCAGCCCGCCAACATTCACTGTGACAATCTTTCGGCTCTAGCTCTTGCTAAAAACCCTGTATTTCATGCCCGCACCAAACACATAGAAATTGACTATCACTTTATAAATCATCACATTCAGTCTAAGGAAATTGTCGTTCATCACATAGACTCCGAACAGCAGCCGGCAGACATTCTCACCAAATCTCTACCCGTATCCCGCTTCTATCTCTTAAGAAACAAGCTGACGATCCTTCCCCAGGATCCTCAGCTTGCGGGGGACTGTTAACCACATAAAGCAATGAGTACGCTGCAACCACTTGAACCAATGAGTGTCCTCTCTGCTCACTGCCAGAGAATTCGTTTTCCACTACTGGTGGCAGAGCCACTTACCAACGGCTGCCAACTCAGCCTTCTTCTTTATATACATCTTTACTGTACATGGGACAAAGCTATGAAATGAATTCTACAGAATACTCTCTTAGTCTCCTTCTCCATCTTTCTCTTCCTCCTTGCTGTGTTCACTGTTTTGCAGGTATCTGAGGACACCGAAGCTTCTCACAAACTACCCTGTACTTCTCCAAGGCCTACAACAAATATTTTACATGAATGGGCTCGTCCCAATATGCTCTTGATTTGACGAAAGCACATAGATGCCATATTGAGCTACAACATAATATATTATTTAATGATACACAGTCAAATAATATGTTTTATTTCAATGACAACTTTATATCCATAGCTGAATCTGTGTAAATCATGTGTAGCATCGATCACAGTAAACTGTGAGAAATCCACCTTCGAAACATGGCTAAACATTCCTTAGCCTTATATTCTGGAGCCGTGTGACCAGCACCCTATATATAAGATAAAAAATAATCAAGTCAAGCTTAACATGTTAACTACAAGTAATAAACTAAGAGCATCAAATCAGAAAAGCTTTACCTTAACAGTCGCAAAGGTCAGATTATTGGAGTAGGATTCTGTGTATCTATGGAGCCAATGAGAGAAAAATGAGCTATCATTATGTGCTATTATAAAAAATTTAAAAATAAATTCATACATTCCTCCAAAATTAATGACGGATATAGTTTTTTTGCCATTATTAACGAGCAAGTAATTAAGAACTTACCCAGCAACTTGGCCATCCACATGCCATGATCTCCACCGGTCAGTGATGGAGAAGTTAAGGGATTTTACCCACTCCTTTGTGCCAACAAAAGGGAGAACCATGTCATGATCACCGCTGCACCAAACGAAACAAATACAGTCACATGTATCCATATATGTGTGTAAGAGAGACAGAGAAAGAGATTGATTGATTCAAAAAGTTTCTGCCAGCTAAGTATATATATGCACACAACTCCCCTTGGCCTATTGGTTGAGAGCTTAGGCTTCCAACTAAGAGGTCCAAGGTTCGAGTCTTTGTGTATGTGTTGTGTGTGAGAGTTTACCTTAAATGGCCTAAATGTCCCAAAAAAAAAAAAATCAATGCTTCTCCTGTTGCGCGCAGCTTCTGAAATCTGAGTGAAAAAAGAATATCAGGAGTTAACGTGAAAAAACTCATAATTAGAAAAAAATTAGGGAGTTACATTAAATCAAAATATTCAATATGAAAATGGGGAGAAATTATATAGATTTCTTCTCTTTGACTCTTTTATTGTCTCTCTTTACTTCTCTCTTCGTTCTATATATGAGCGGATCCACCATGGACTCAGCCCTCAAATTTTTTTTTTTATAATATTTAGAGGGGATATTTTATAATATTTAGAATATTTTGGGCATTTTGCCCCCCCCCCCCAAAAAAAAATCTTTTTTGTCCTAATTTTATCGATCATAAGCATCTTTAACCATAAATTTTTTTTTTGTCCACCCTCAAAAAAGAAGCTCGATCTACCCCTAGTTCTATATACAAATAGATAAAAGTGATGCTTTTAATATATCAAATTAAACAAGAAAAATAAGGGAACAAAAACTTCTCAGTCTGACTTGCAGTGTTGCAGCACTGAGGTTTGGAGTGTCGGCGTACTTCACTCTAAGTTTTTAAGTCCACCTAACATCCTATAATGTTACGGCATTGGAGTATGGAGTGCCACAACACTCAGCTCTCTGTCTCTTCCCCAAGTTAGGAGCATTCCAGCATACATCGCTGCTCCCCCAATCCACAAAAAAAGGAAGCGTTGCCCCCTTACAACACTCTAGTGAGCTCGATCGATGATATTTAGATTTGAGATACCAATACAGTCTGATTGATACACAATCAGATTTCACACTAAACTATTAAGTGTTATCAAGTGTGTTAGATGTTGTTAAAAAGTTTTATCAATCTAGCATTTGATTCTCATTTTAAAATATATTTGAAAATATGATTCAATCTTTTTAAAAATTACATCCCTATAAATATAAATTTATATATAAATCCATTTTGATTCAATTTCAACGCAATTATACTCATTATACTCATGCTTCCATAATAATTAAAGAGTTGATTCCTCTCCAAATTTGATCAAATTTAAAAATTAATATAATTTTTAAATAATCATTTGAGTAAAAATATCAGCCTTGAAAAGCACAAATATTTATAAGGACTTTCGAAGATTGAACAATAATAGGGAGGTTTCAGCACACATCACAAATAACGAATTGATTGACAAGCTCTGTCACATGTCTTGGCCTGGCATCAGAGAAATTATTTTGTGCGGATATCGGATGGTCAGGAGATCAATCAGATCACGTCACGTCACCTAGTACACAGTGGTCCGAGCATCGGTATGAAGCAAAAAAGTGACATGACGCATTTTGATTGGTCTCCAGATGCCGGACACAAAATAATTTTTCCTGGCATCAACATTCTTCATTTACTAAGGAAATAGTTTGCAAGAACTTAACTGTAGATTCAATTCTTTCCATTCAAATAAGGAAATAGTTTGCAAGAACTTAACTGTAGATTCAATTCTTTCCATTCAAATAAGGAAATAGTTTGCAAGAACTTAACTGTAGATTCAATTCTTTCCATTCAAATAAGGAAATAGTTTGCAAGAACTTAACTAAAGGGAACTACGAAATTAGCCAGAGGCATTTGCGCTCCGCCCTCCTACCAATGATATTGACTTTCAACATTTTTGGTTGGTCTCGCTCTCCGCATTTTTCTGCTTCTGGTTCTTTCTGGATGGATAAATGGTTTCCTTTCTTTTAAGTCCCTCCTTCCCACCTCTCCTTGCTTCCTTGCCCTTTCCTATGATTGGTAAAAATTTGATTTTGATGCAAAATAGGAGACGGAAATTGGACTGGACGGATTCCATGATGGAAGTTGTAAGAGTTCTGTGACATGAGAGTTATTTTAAGAAATTGTTCGTTCTGCTCATTCTAGGTTGAGGGGAGGAGTCAAGAGATTAAGAATTCTAGCATAATTTATAGGGTCAAGAAATGACTTTTAGAGGTTGGTAATCAAATAGTGGTCAATGGATTATAATTTGGTGATGGAGGTCGAACTACCCCAGTCAGACGACAATGGCCGTATGTTGGAGGATTTAGTTAGGCGACGGTGGATGTAGCACTATAATCAAGCAATAATTCGCAGATCACCACAATTAACTAACATTTGTTGGAGGATTGTGGGGCCATGGTAGTCATGAAATCTTAGTCAGGTGATGGAAGTCGAAAGACTATAATTAGGTAGCAATTTATTGACAATTGTGATATTCATGGTCCAACTATGCTGTTCAAATGGTGTTTGAGTGTTTGCCCGATAGTAGTGGTCACGTGGTGGTCTTGAAAGGAGCACTCCGGTTATGGTTTGTGGAGCTCTATAATTATTCAAGCATATGAGCTATCTTAAATCTCAGACTAATAATTCAAGCTCCCCTTCAGGTAGAGAGATCCCCTTCAGGTAGAGAGATGAGTCTATTTATAATTTTTTTAGAAAGGCATATATATATATATATATATATATATATACATACATATACATATATGAATGTCATGATATGTTAATTATTACATACATAAACATAATTTATATTCTTAAAAATTTAAATGTACAGGCATCCCCTTTAGTTGTCGCAACTCATATGCGCATAGCTCGGGAATGGCCAGTTGAATGCCCACGTATGATTTATGTCTTAATTAACCTTGGATTGAAAAATCTCAGACATTTGTAATTCATTAGGTTAGATCACAACCTTATCACAACATTGGTGGAGAGATGATGTCCATTAACGAACACATTTCATTTGACGATCGGTGAGATGACGATCACATTGCAGGATGTCCAAATTTTACTAGGGCTTAGAGTTCATGGACATGCTGTGGTGGGCTCAAATGTTGTTGGGCAAGGACGCATATGGCCAACATGGCCTAGTTGCTGTGACAAGCTACTTGGGACGCATCCTAGCAAGGATATGGTATGCCACGCTCCACATGATGAGTAAGATGTTGTGACATTTCGGATGGGTTCAACACAGGTTGTGTCTATGCTCCCACTATGTTCGCTTCGATAGACTTTTACAGAGAGTCATATGATGATTTGGCCATAGAGACTTTCCTTCAACATGTCCGAGCATACATCATATTCATGATAGATTATTTTTTGATACCCGATACATCACAAAGTCATGTCTCTCTATAGTGGTTACCTCTGCTTGGAGATGTAGATAGCTTTAGCAGGATATCTATAGGCGGTGCAACTCTTTCACATCTTTATAGGGAGCTGTGCCATGCAATAAGGCCAACAAAGACATATATTGCTGGATGTGTAGCACTCTTGCAGGTTTGATCATGGAAAGATTGCACATAGGTCGACCAACACTACGAGTCCCATAAATTTTTGACTTGGCTGGACGACCTTTGGGTTACAGGTTAGTAACTTTTAGTTAACATAATTCAAATGTATATTAAATAATAATGTTCTATATAAATTAATAGGTGGGCTAAAGAAAGGATACATGAGCTTCCTTCTAACAACACGATGAGGTATAAAGATGATTTTGATGGTCTGCGGATGTGTCAGGTATGGCTATATTATGATAATCTAAATAATTTATTATTATTCATAATTAAATAAAATAATCTTTTTTATAATTATCAGGTTATCATGACTCTATATACACAAGAAGTTTTTGATGCTCTTTTCGTATAATGTCAGGATGGAAGGGAGATTTAGAGGGCATGAGTACCACTGATTAGTTGGAAATGTGCAGTGTGGAACCTCTTGAATCGGGTCATGAGATAATTTTCAGGCGCACAAACCACTAATATTGAACCTATGGATCAATCATTTAGGCGCATTGATGGCCGTGGTAGAGCAGATCCGGATTGGACTATACAATACAGTGACTACCTACATATTTGAGAGGAGAGAGGCATATGTGGTACCTATCACTCCACAAGTAGGCACATGTAATCAGGAACTTGGTGCTTATCTACGGTGGTATAGATCTTGGGCATCTATCTACCTTTTATAACCACAAACGGAGCATCCGGAGACCTTTTTTTTCTTGATCACATGGCAAAAGATTAATGGTATGTACTCCATTATTATATATATTATATGGATTATTTATCATAATTTCTATAATTATTAATAATTAAGTATTAAATACTCTTTAGGCGGACTACTACATACGATCTTTTGCGATAGTTGATCCATTTGCCATGGGAGGAGGACAAAATGCAAGTTCTTTGTAGTTGGCTATAGATCAAGTTGTTGAACTATTTGCCAGAGTTCAGCGATCAATTTATATTGACTATACCACTTTTAATACGTCTACGCAGGGGGGGACAACAAAGTAGAGAACGTGCTGGGAGTTCTCACAGGCCTCAGTATAGTAGACGATCTATTTCAAATGCTCTATCCCGGTCGATGGGGAGCAGACACCGACAGACTGTTGAGACTAATCCGCATCGACATTCCATTCACACACCATCCATAGGTTATGACTTCATGGGAGCAGGTCCTTCAACCTCACATTAGAGCCCGCACATTGGAGAGTCTAGTCAACCATGACATATATATTACGGCATACAATCATTATTTTCAATAGCCATTATAAAGTTGATGTCATCAGTAGGATTGCCTTCATCTCCCACGTAGCAGGACAATATATTAATGGGAGGTTATCCAATAGAATAAGGTACACAACTTTCACAACAACATGCCAAAGTTGAGCAGGAGGAGGATGAGGTCTCAGAGGAGTCACAATTACAAATGAAAAGATGGGAGGCACCAATTAGATATACTCCAGGGAGTGAGGCCTTACCCAGACATCGTTAGTTTGAGCTTTGACTTATA